AATTTTATTGCAACCGTTTGACATAAACTGCTTTTTTATTTTAACTAGTTTTGTGTATTTGGTTTGTTTCAAAGCAAACAACCCACCCACTTTTCATGCCCGAGCCAGTGTTCTGTTGGTTTCACGGTGAAACTTTTGGATTGCATTCATTTTGTCACATCTCTCTGTGAAATTAGCTGTCACTTCAGATGAGGAAATCTTCATTTCTGCATGTGTTAATACTTAATGTAACACATCAGACATGGTGTGAAACACTGTGTGAAAACCTGCTGTTTTCGTAGCTCTTCATAGAATCCGACTGCCTACACACAATGCTGAAAACAATCCATCCCACTGTAGTTCACATTTCACAGGGAAATTTTTCCCTTTTGAGTGAAGATTTGGAAACGAGACTACAACATCAGACAAGCTTGACACATAAAACATGCAGACACACAAACGTCAGCCCACGGTGTTAGTCCTCACCTTCCACCACGACCTCTTTCAATCTCATGTCTCATTTCCCCTGAAGTTGATATTTTGTAGTGGCGTCACATCTTCCCATAATCCTCCTCTGGATTGGCTGCAGGCCCTCATCTCTCGGCCCTGAAGGTCAACGTGTGAGAGGCATCAGTAAAAGAAAATGACCCGCGTGAAACACATTGCAGTAACAACCAGCTAAGTTTGAATTTATAGAAGGATGGACGGAGAGAGGAGCCTTGGTCGTCTGAGGCTGATAATTGATTAAAAAACATTTGCAGAGCATCTCCCTTAAGATCTTTGTAACAAAAGGATGTTGCTTTCCAGTATTTAGAGCTCAGAGCTCAAGGGTTGAGGCAGTTTAGTGGAAACTACATTCTGCAACTCATTCCTTCATACTACAACATCACGATCTGTGAGTTTGTCTTCCCTCTGAGGTTCTGACTCTGCAAGTACAATGAAAGTAACTAAGACATTATATTTTCATGGGTATTGATCAAACACAGCTGGTAGGAAAGATAAACCACACTTGCTTTGACAGAGACAAGGTGTCTCACATAAATATCTTTTGTGCTTTTCTGATAAACTGTAAAAGAAAATGCGCTGATGGCTTTGTTCACAAATCTCCTTTTTTTCTCTACCCAACATATTCCATTTTATTCTCACTTCTCTCTGTAATTAGTTTTATTCTTCTTTCTGAACTTGTTCAGGAAACATGTCAAAGCTGTCATAAATCATAAATCCTGACCTTGAATTCAATTCCAACTTTCTAACCCATCAACACTGTGACATTCCACAGTGTGACTGAGACTCTAAAATATATTCAGCTTATCAGTTATTTCTGGCACAAGCAGCCACCCCCCAACTCCCTCTCAATAAATATGGGGTTGACTAAGTTGATATGCCTCGGAGGCGTTTTAAATATTCCCCCCAAAAAATATCTATTCATAAAGCGGGGCAACATAATTGGGTGATTTATGACCTTTTCAAACCACTGGAGCGATTAACTGAAGACATCATTCAGAGCTGTCAATCAAACTGATTGTTCACATGGAAACGGAACACCATGCAGCCAGTGAGGCAGCCGGCTCACTTGAGAATGATGCCTTCAAGAGCCTTTCACTAGTGGCCTCTTCAGTTGTTAGTGTGTTAAGATAAAACTTTCTTTTATCAGAAAGCTACACTGGCATAAAGAGAAATGGAATCAAATGCACAGGTCAATCTGTGCACATTCATGTTGCCACCTCAGAGGTGACATAGTTTCAATTGAACGCCATCGCATCCCAGTGCCCTCCTCTCACTCGCTGCTGGTCACAGACATTGACTACGTTCGTAGCTTGATGGTACATCTGGGACACATCTTCACATAAAGCTATCATTACCTCAGATTTAATGATCAGGCCCTGTGATTTGTCTTTATTGGTCTTCATAGACACACACACACCTGCATCTCCGGAGCCTTCCTTTGGTAATAACACCAGGAAGAACAACTTGACACTAATTTGCTCATCATGTCAAGTGTTGTCATGCGTAAAGCATTCCTTTTTATGATGCTTAAAAAAGTACCAGCTTTGGAAAGGATGAGGTTGGAGCCGATTGCATCCTGGATGAGATTTCAAGTCTTTGGCGTCAACACGGTTTATTGCAGTCTACAAAACCACCAAAGACATACGGGCAGCACAACTATTATCCTAGAATCCAAGCTTTCCTTATTTTATTTATACTATTTATATGTACCTCCCATATAAAGAGCAGTGTTTACATTCTCTCAAGTCAAATTTGACTGATTTTCATAACATCACTCCAATTGGCTTATCAGGAGGCCTTTTTACCTCCTTTGGTCCTCAGGGCTTGCTTGGCTCTCAGTCTAATTACCAGAGATAATGGAGGGTGAAGCTAAATGGCGCTGATGGGGTCCAGCAGAAGGTTATTAGGTGTCCTCATTAGCGCCTGACTGAAGTGAAAGGAGGTTTAAGGTCTTATTTTGATCCTGATGGATGGTGTTCCTCCTAGTCTGTCTTTAGAGGGTGTTGTTTCACAGCATAGACAACTAGGCAGAGGCACGGATAGGCAGATACATAAAGAGGAAAGAGAGAGAGTGTGTGTGTGTATGTATGTGTCTGTATGGTGACAGCATCCAATTTGGCACATGATGAGACATGATTTTACTTGAGTGAGAGGAGTATGTTCATTTGCTGTTAGTAACAGTAGGAATGTTTGATGCAGTAAATATTCCTAATGCAGCGACAGATTTGACAGTGTGGTGACAACATGGTCGCTGTACATCTCACTTCCACCCCTCTGTAGCTGGGTCAAACAAGAGAAAAAAAGCAGCACAATGATCAAAGCAATGTATTTCCATTTTATTGTATTACTCATAGTTGCTCAGACACGTGTATATACAAATACAGATACTTTTTTGTCAATTTTTTTGTTGTTGTTTATATACTGTAAAAGAGCAGGTTGGAAATATTCCCCACTGATGGCAAAGTGGGAGCACGGGGTTCAAAGGTGAGGGAAGAAGGACAGCAGGTGGTGTGGTGGAGGTTATACAAGCACGAGAAGAATGGGACAGGACAGGTGCACAAAAATGAACAAGTGGCTCATCAGCAAGAGCGGGAGCTGACGAAGAGAGGCTTTGGCCCCGTATGCACAGAACCTGGATTGATGATAGCCTCTACCCCGCTAACAATCTAGTTCAGGATTTGGTGGAGGGGGAGCACTAACCCTTGAACTGTGCCCAGGACCAGCCTCTACTGTGGGGACAAGTGAGTCAGGGTTGTTAAAAAGGGAGAGAAAGTGAAGGGCCCCTGTTGTAGTCTCTTCGACGCCAGCAGCCGTTTCGTGTAAAAGCACAATGGCAGAAAGCGTCTTGTACACAGACGGGGCTGCCAGGGCAGAGGCTGAAGGGCTAAGGCATGGGAAACACTCTTCGTTGCCAAAGAGGGTTGCCGCTTCCCATTCACTGCGGCAACAGCAAATGAGACACGCACACACACAAACTCAAAGGTCTCACACATTTTTTCACACTGAAAAACGTCCACACACTGATGTATACACTCCCAAAAACCTCCTCTCAGGAGAGCAGAAAGAGGATGAATAGTCAGAAGAGACAGACTGCAACTACATGGGATGAATTCAGTAGATGGGTACAGAAAGAGTCATTCTTAGGAGAAAAAAAAAGTTGCTTTTGAACTACAAAATGACCGCCCCCCCCCCCCCCCCCCCC